ACATATCCATAAACTCGTAGTTGAGTATATAAGTTTAGCTCAGCGTAAAAACTTAAAGTAGAACTCTATTTGTTCATTAAATTTATGGTAGAATCGTAAATATTCGGATCCAATAAAATATAAATCTTTTAATTTCATTCAATGTTTTGTGGTAGCTTTTGAACTGACTTAATAAAAGATCTCCTTTTTACAATTCGACTGAATATATCTTTGTATGTACAGTACGCGATGACTTTACCATTTGTGAACCAATACCAATTATTCTTTTTTTCATTGAATTGGTTGAACTCAAGGTTGTTTTAATATGAATTAAAGAAAAGATTCCTAATCTAACGGTAGAGAAATGAGAGATGCTGAATCTGGCTTATTACAAGGCAAGGTTCGCCACAACAACCGGTCCCGTGCTGACCTTTACCAGGTCGTCTGACCACCTTGTGGTCTGCCGGCGCTCGGATAGACTAAGAAAGAATGAATTATTTTTGCTAAATAACCTTATTACTTAACTAATTTAGGTTATACTTTCGGGCGTTGTCATCACGCGCCTGGCCTTGGCTGTGACGCTTTATATAGGAATTTACGCTTTATAAGGAAGGTTAAGACCACTATCCCTTCATCGATTTTTGTAACGACAAAATATCAAGGTCGAACCGTAGAAATGTCGTGTGTTGGTTATAATATAATATCATTTAACTAGAATACGCCGCGCTGGTGGTAGGCCTAATTAATGATTAATGATTATGGGGCTGAAAAGTTTGATACAGTCTGTTCTTCTTATTGTTTTAAGATAATTAAAAGAATATAAGACATCTATCTTGCCTCAAATTTTATGTATCTATGTGTATAAAAATCTTAACTTGATTTGTGTATGCTTTAAAAACTCAAAAAGCTCTTCAAGTATATATAAATACAACCCGCTTCAAAGATTGTTTTTATCTATCTATCGCATCAGTTTTGTTCCTCATTTCTTAAAGAAGCGTGGCGGTACAGCTAGTTATCTATAAATTTATTTATTAAGAGTTTTTGAATACTCATTTCAAAGGCTTTGCAGGCAAATTTACTACAGTGTTTAGTCCTCTGTAAAATGTTTAAAATAAACACACGGTTTTTGTATGATTTCACAAAAGGCGCTTGGCCCCTCGCCAACACCTCGCGGCACTGCGAAGGGGGCGCGCGCACGGCGCCTGCCTTGGGCCTCCGCCAGCCGTTCGACAGATTTACCCTTACTAACGTTTAACAATTGCAGTGCCGCTTGATCCCAGTTTAACTCCATTGGTTTTTAGGATAATACGAATAATAACCTTACCTGGAATACTTAGGAGAACTATAGACTACACTACTAGACTTAGGAGAAACAAAGCTAGTAACACAGATAACTAAAAGATTCTACTTCCTGAAATTGTCCGTACGTCATTGACTTCCAGTAGGTCATATACTGGATTGTGGACGGAACTTGACAGAAGAATCATTCAGACGTAAATATCCTCCAAATCCTCCAAAATTTTACATTTGTTTGCTTATTACGCTCGAGCGACACGCTGCAGTCGGCGCTGAAAATGCGCTCGTTACGCGCGGTGTACTAACTCCAGTCACACACACACACACGTCTCCTAACACTAACATTTATTAATTCACCGTCCAATCTGCCCACTTGCCTTCGTTACCTTAGTACGTACGACTAATCTTAGTCGTTAGGCTTGGATATTACGGGTCAGCTTATAGGCAAGAATAGAAAGAAATGAAAATGCTAAAACACAAATGTTTGAACACTCGTATTTCTTTGTATTTAACTTTCACACCACACATGTATTTGGTCTCACTAGTTTAATAAATGCGAAGATTTGGATGGATGTTTGTGAATCTATACTATCTATACTAATATTATAAAGCTGAAGAGTTTGTTTGTTTGTTCGAACGAGCTAATCTCAGGAACTACTGGTCCGATTTGAAAAACTCTTTCAGTGTTAGATAGCCCATTTATCGAGGAAGGCTATATATCATCACGCTAAGAGCAATAGGAGCGGAGCACCAATGAATAATGTTTCAAAAACGGAGAAAATTTATTACTATTGAGAGACGCAGACGAAGTTGCGCGGGTCAGCTAGTATTATATATTCGTCTTGCAACTTATTGCTTGACGAAGCAAGTATACGATAATTTGAGAAGAATTAAAACATTACTTTTAAAATTAAAGAGGCATCTGCCAACGTGAGTAATAAGGGCTATTGTGAGGCAACCTGTGCCGCGCGTTTGTTAGGTAAATGAGCGGGAGCGATGGCGCGTCACGTCGCCAGCTCATCATGTCGTGTCACCGCTATCGCCCGCCATTACTAACACTCACCGTCCGCGCTGATGGCCCGGTTTACAATATTTAGATTGGGTAAACAGTTTTTTAACAAACCACAGTTGGAAGCAACCAAGAATTTGACAGGTCTGAGATTACAGAACGTTAGAAGGACATATGTAGAGCAGCATATGTTATATTGTATATATATTGTGGTGTATATATATTTGCGACTATATAGTAGTAAATATGCAACTCGCCAGCACGCAGGTTTCGAACAATGCAAACCCGAACATCCAGTGCGGAAACTGACAAATCTCGAAGGTGTCGCTGACCACTTTTCTGTTCATGGGCTTTGACGATTGGTAGATTTAACGGTAAAATTTACAAAAAAAAAAGCCTATCACAGAATTGTTAACTTTGTTTAGTTGCCAACAATAAACAAACTGCCAATTCTCCCTTAATCTTTAATTTTCCAAGTGCCCGTTTAACAGCAATGTGTTAGTCCCAGCTTCATGGATTGGATTGAATTTCTAGTTTGTCAAAACCCTTTCGAAAATACAACCGTGAATGTATTTATAAATAAATGTAAACATATTAATATATATTAAGATAGTAAACAGACAGACTTTTCTATTCGTTTATTGTGACCACGTGACAACGTTGAGATAATGTCATTATGATACATTTGATTAATTTTCTAATAGCGTTTACACTTGTAGTTTGTCAACTTGGCTAAGCCTACAGCACCGTCTTGTGGTCTTGGCAGTTACAAAGTCGAATTCTACAACTGTATTTTATATGTAACACATGTAAAATTAAGTATATGTATTAGTGTTACTAGACTATGAGTTGGTAATGGTACAGGCTCCATCTGTCGTGGGGGTGAGGGGTCGGAAATGTGTCGGTTATGGGGCGGAAGTTGTGCGATGCGACGACCCCTTAATATCCGCAACGCTCTTAATTTACGGACACCACAGGGTTTTATATACCATTTCCATTTGAACGCACTCTACCAAACGTTTTTAGTAAATATAACTTGCTTAAAAATCTGATAAAAATGTTAGTAAAGAGGGTTTTGGATAGAAAAAGATTTTAAGTCACAAAGCCTAATACCTGACTCTAATTGAAAAAGAAAAATAATTGTAGTTTTATTAAAACTAAAATACACGCTTTAAAGAGAGAAAAGAGTGTTACTATCCAGGCCCAGCTCCTAGCTTCATCATCAGATCAGATCCAAGACATATGTACACACAGGCAGTAAGTTAAAATTCATTGATGAAAATGTATATATTATATCGTTTAATAAAGGACAGAGGTTGTTTTACCAATTGATGAGTACGGTTACGGTTATAGATTCTTTATTCTCAATAAAAACAAAGTCACTTTCTTGAGAACAATAATAACTTCAAGTATTATATAGGTTCGTTCGTCATTTCACTCAATAAATAATATAATTGTGGGTAGATAGGTACTAATCTAATGTATTCATTCGCTCGAGGACAAGTTATGTGAATGATGTACGTACATATTGAGCTAATCGAGTTTTGAATACATTAAATGAGTTTACATTTATAATGTACGATAGTAGTTCATTACATAGCTCTAATTAATAGTAAAAAAAACATTATTTACTGTCAATTGTTTTTGTTTGTGTGAGATGTATGAAATTGTTATTATTGTTAATAATAATACCTTTGATTAGTTTTTGATTAGTTAGTTGTAATAATTATACTATTTTTAACATTTGCATGACTTGAAATGGACAGAACATGTTGAGACTGATATTTTGTAACACCATATTGTATACATGTTATAGCAAGTAAATAATCTTTATCTTTAGCGGGTATTATACCCCGTATTACAATATTATCCATGATGATGATAAAATTAAGTCAAGGATAAACACTACGACGAGTTAGTTTTCCTTATAATGAAGTAAAGTTTTTGCCAGCAATGGGCCGGTGTGAAACCACGCAGTCACAGAAATCAAGGAGTTAAGCAATTCTTTTGCTGTTTTTCACCGAGTGAGTGAGGTTATGTGGGGGAATAAAATGGGCTGCAATGCGCTTGTGACTCTCGAGTATCAAGTATCCATGGGTGGATGTAGCCACTTCCCATCAGTTGACCCCTCTGCTCTTTTGCCCCCATTCACCCCAAAAAAAGGTATTATTTTGTAAAAACAAAAGCAGCTATTAAAGATTATAGGTATGGTTAGGTTACATAGTTATGTGCACATTTTAATTACCGGCGGTTGCAGTTGCCGGCGCGTGTTGTGCGACAGGACACGAACGCCACCCCGACATTCACTTGAAGCGGTTATGGGTGCGATCTGCCCGATACACTAATTAATAGTGCTCGCTTAGTGCTCATGTACAGGAACACGGCGCAGCTCTACACCACAACGACTGGTATTAACCGAGTCATGCGCTCACTTGTGTGATATCATCTTCATTAACTACATACACGCTAATACTGCTGTAAGGGGGTTAGTTTAAAATAGACCCAGTCAGGTTCTATACCATGACTACGTGTGTTTTCTAAAACTAAACGTATTTTTTCCTCAATTTGTGAGCAGTTAGTTATCTCACATTGTAATTGAACCCTAGACATGAAGGCATTTAATGATATGACCACCCTCCACCCTACCTTCACAGCAGGTGTCCGTGATAAATGGTTGCACAATCATTCAACACTACTCGTGATATTGTCGATTACACTATGTTGACGTGATATAATGGCGTGGGCCGTCTACACGCGGGTCGCTCACGTCTACACTCGGGCCGCTCATGTCTACACTCGGGCCGCTCATGTCTACACTCGGGCCGCTCATGTCTACACTCGGGCCGCTCATGTCTACACTCGGGCCGCTCATGTATACACGCGGGCCGCTCATGTATACACGCGGGCCGCTCATGTATACACGCGGGCCGCTCATGTCTACACGCGGGTCGCTCACGTCTACACTCGGGCCGCTCATGTCTACACTCGGGCCGCTCATGTCTACACTCGGGCCGCTCATGTCTACACTCGGGCCGCTCATGTCTACACTCGGGCCGCTCATGTCTACACTCGGGCCGCTCATGTATACACGCGGGCTGCTCATGTCTACACGCGGGTCGCTCACGTCTACACTCGGGCCGCTCATGTCTACACTCGGGCCGCTCATGTCTACACTCGGGCCGCTCATGTCTACACTCGGGCCGCTCATGTCTACACTCGGGCCGCTCATGTCTACACTCGGGCCGCTCATGTATACACGCGGGCTGCTCATGTCTACACGCGGGTCGCTCACGTCTACACTCGGGCCGCTCATGTCTACACTCGGGCCGCTCATGTCTACACTCGGGCCGCTCATGTCTACACTCGGGCCGCTCATGTCTACACTCGGGCCGCTCATGTCTACACTCGGGCCGCTCATGTCTACACTCGGGCCGCTCATGTCTACACTCGGGCCGCTCATGTCTACACTCGGGCCGCTCATGTCTACACTCGGGCCGCTCATGTCTACACTCGGGCCGCTCATGTCTACACTCGGGCCGCTCATGTCTACACTCGGGCCGCTCATGTCTACACTCGGGCCGCTCATGTCTACACTCGGGCCGCTCATGTCTACACTCGGGCCGCTCATGTCTACACTCGGGCCGCTCATGTCTACACTCGGGCCGCTCATGTCTACACTCGGGCCGCTCATGTATACACGCGGGCTGCTCATGTCTACACGCGGGTCGCTCACGTCTACACTCGGGCCGCTCATGTCTACACTCGGGCCGCTCACGTCTACACTCGGGCCGCTCATGTCTACACTCGGGCCGCTCATGTCTACACTCGGGCCGCTCATGTCTACACTCGGGCCACTCATGTCTACACTCGGGCCGCTCATGTATACACTCGGGCCGCTCATGTATACACGCGGGCTGCTCATGTCTACCTGCGGGCCGCTCATGTCGATGATAGTGAATTTTAAAGTGAATAGTTATTAGAGAGCTTTGCACTTGTTACTTTACTATTCGCGTGTCTACTTGATGCATGATTCTTATCACAGACATCAAGTTTTGATACCACACGACACGATACCGACCTGACATATTTGGCTAGACAGACTGGAGGAAATATTGAGTACTGTGTTCTAAAAATTAAGTATATTACGTAATCTACATAAAGCTAGATTTTATTTACGACGTTATAAAATACTTTTTTTTAACAACACCCACTTCTTCTATAAACTATCAAATTGACTAAGTAACAACCGCGATGTAGTTCTTTAGTACTCGCCTAACTTTTTAATGTTCTACCAAAGCTCGCCATTTCTAGTTGAACCAATGACGTTGGGCCACAGGTGAACCTAGTTATAAAAATATCAATTAGTGACAATTAGCTCATTTATGATCAATGGTATTGTAGTTTGCCACTATTTTTATAAAATGAATTTAATGCAAACAACCTTTGATATCCGATACGACATTCCTCAACGTGTCGTTTAGCGTGCCACGAGAATACCATGTCACGTCAGTTGTCGTGTACCTACTCCTGTAATACAGTACCTACACTGTTAATAGTTCAACGCTATGTTTTATTCATAATGGAAAATTCGCCTTCAACACTCAAATTAGTTTTGTTATACAATTATGCTCATTTAACAATTATGTAGGTACCTACAATAGATTAGCAATTTGAGTAGTTTTTATATCATGCAATTGTTTAATGGGTATTGTTACGCCCAATCATCCTTTTTTTATTGCCGGAGAGTAGGTATGGGTGGACTCCACTACTACAGCCTCATAGAAAAACGCTGCTGTACCATTGTTTCGTTGCTGTTCACCGGAGGAGTGAGGTTGCCGTGAGGTGAGGACCACACCTCCCTCTTTGCATCCTTATTTGTAATGGGTGCAAAGGTCGGCAAATCTCTCTTTTCCCCTGAGTTGCAGATGTAGATGTAGATTGTAAAAAAATAATAACTCTCGCGGTATCCACAGTTCTTACAAGCACCGGTACTATATAAGGACTCCGGTCAACGCAAGAATGGTGTATTCGTGCGTTGGCCGTATTATCTTTAATAAAAGACTTTATAAACAACAAATATTAAGAGATTTGTATTGGAAAGCGCGGCCACATGCCATCTTATGCCTCATTAATAAATAACGTAATTGAAAAGTGCAATAAATAAAGCTTAGAGTAAATAATTGTACTACAAAGTGCAGCTTACCTTTATTTGTGATTAATATCTGTTGCAATATTTTTTTAATTTAATAAATAAAATAAATTAATATTTTCATTATACTAATTGCCAAGTAGGTAGGTATGTGACATGGGGCAAGCAGGTAATGAGGGTCTTCGATACTTTTTCTGCCACCAGACGGCGCTGGGTATGCGTCAGGTCCAAGCAGCTGTCAGATAGCACAGATTCTTACCGAACGTATAATATTTTAGTGAAATTCTATGAATTTGGAAGTGTTATTGAGTTTATTATAGATTACGGCTAGAGAAAGGTTGTCGAACTGAAGATTGAGCTCAAAAAGAGAGGCGCAAAAGTTTTATTTGCACACATAGACACTGCACAACACTGTGGAATTTTAGAAATCAGTATTCCTTTTGTAACGTTTTTAAGAATGAATAAACCAAAAAAATGATCGAAAAATACAAATCGTGTATGTGTTTTGACAGGTGGTTGAACCTGACGCTACAGTGCTGCCATCTCACGTGGAACATTTCAGAAAACCCTCATTACGTTAGTAGGACTAAATTATGGTTAGCAACAATGTAGGGAAGTTTTGTGTTCAATATGCCATAAGTCGTTGTATATTATGTATTTAATAAATATAACCATTCTACAAATAAAAACTATATGTGAAATGTAAATATAACTATTAGTAACTATTACTATTTTATTACCACACTACCCCAACAAGAAAACGCATAGCGCAATGAATAATGGTTCAATAATGATTCATAACAGAAAATTAATCAGCGTTAACACGAATTCTGCTAAATATTGAGAGCGTAATAAACTTTATGTATTAGTTCATGCATACTTGTGACAACTAGTGCTAACAGTGGATGGTATTCTGAGCGCGAAACGCGACACCAATTATACATTAGAATGACAAAGATGCATGTTACATGAACTAGTTGCAGCCGTTGTTTAATAAAACTTATATTGCATCATCTAATTTTATTTGTATTTATTTGTATAACAAAGTTAGCATTGTGTAACACCTCACGTGTTCAAACGGTGCGAATGTCTCTACTAAACACATAATGTATGCTGACAAAACCCCGGAGACAACCGTACTGCTACTGTTTTATGTATTCTGTGCCGCGGCGCGGCGGAGGAGCGCTTTGTTCAGTACAACTACAACAGGATTGTCTGATAAAGTATCTCACAATAACAGCAAACTAATAGACCTAATAATACGTTTGTTTGTTTGAAAAGTTCTTTCTTAACTATTAGTGTACAAATACTATACTGTTCCTGCAGAAAGCATAAGTGGAATAACTGTATTGTGTCTGAGAGGCGACGCCATTGTACACAAACGAAATATGAAACAATTGCCGACAATGCACTAACTTTTAATTAACAGTAGCCGTGTAATCGCCGTTCGTAAATCGTTCTACTGTCATTTTGTAAAATTATGTTCCAGCTCCAAGTAAACGAACGGCTGAGGGGGCGAACTGTGTATGGAGGGTGGTGGGGGGAGGCCCGGGCCAGTTGTCATCGACACGCCACTTGGGCGCAGTAACAAAACGAGAAAGTTTAATTAACGTCCAATGAGCCGATAGGTACGGTACTGCTGCAGCTCGTTACCCTCTCAGAAACTGTATCTGACCATGGTAAGTAGACCTGCACTTTTAAATTTTTGCTCTTTACAGGTACCTGATAAAGGTGGAACTGTATTTCAACGTACATTGATCATATGTTTATTGACCACAACTACCACAACCTAGTTACAGCTTCACAGCTTCGTTAAATTCATTAATTATTTTTTTTAAAGACAACTCCTGCATTAGGAATACACTCGGCGCAGTAGGAAGCGGCGTGGCAACCGCTTAAAATACTCGTGCAGTCAGATTAATTGGTTACATTACCTGAACTTACTGCGATAATTTATCTACAGTTTATAATGTATTTTTCTATCACACGCACGTTCCACATTGGAATTAAAAATAAACCTTGACGTTATGTTACAAGAATGAATGGTATTTATTGCAAAAGTTCTTAATAAAAATTTAGTGACCTGTGTACATATTGATTTCGATGTTTCACTATTATGAGCTTACCACTTTTGACTGCAGAATCTCCACATGGGATAATACCTACTTTGTGTAATCCATAAATGTTTTTTTCGAGTCTGGTGTTCTTTGTGTCCATTTCATGTGTGTGTAAATTCCCGCGACACAGGATATATTCCTAGTCTTTTTAAAAAAGTAAAAGAAGATAACAGCGACGATGGTTTACTTTTTTTTAAACTATCGATGCACAAGGATATAATAGTATTGCTGTAGTATTGCCAACAATTTTACATAAAGAATTCTTTTAGGGTTTGCCGAAAATATCACACTTTTGTGTGTGTAGGTTTTAATAAGATAAAGAAAAGGTCTCTTCTTTAGGTACAGGTAAGTATATTACAAAAACGTCTTGCAAGTAATGAGCCAAAGAATTGCATCAATTCAAGAAACAAATAGCGGTATTTGTCGGCGAGCGCACTGCACACACCATCTCGTTTATTTACTTTTTACAACTGCCGCTGTTGAGGAAGTTTTCTGCTGGCAATCGTACTCACGGGACGCCACCCAACAGTAATTACTTGATTAAGTTTATTAAGACTAGTGATATTATCCTTGATTAGATTTAACATGAAGGTAGTCTTTTTGATGTGTAAAGTTCTAATTAGTCACGTTAGTCAGTTAGAATTTATATTGCAAAAAGAAATTCAGATACAGATATAGGCTTTAAATTGTACGAGTAGATACATAGAATATGCTTATTTTAGAAGTAGCTTGTGACTTGCACATTTGTACCTATATATAATTACGTAAATGTATATGTATGTAAACCTTTGTCTTTCAAAGTGACTGGACGAAAAACGACGAAAAATATAATAATAATAGTAAGATTACAGTATCAACCCGTCTGGCCAGCGTGGTATAGTAGGCCAAAACCTCCTTTCTAAGGAATAGCCTATGTCCAGCAGTGGACTATTATAGGCTGTCGATGATGATTAAGATTGCCGTGGGTGATCTTGTGAAGTTTGCTGTTGATCATATAAACTTCACAAAACAGTATTGTTTATTTCGCATCCGTATCATTTAATTGTTCTATAAAACAAAACTTATTGAAAGTAGTTACACCCTATGAGCACTTATCTGTATAATGCAGATTAAAATATACCAACTCGTCTGTAGGCAGTGGGGCTCGCGAGCGGGTTGTGCTAATTACGATTTTATACGGATTGTTTGAAAATGTAGATAAGCTATCTACAAAGAACTTGTTGTAGTCAAAGGTTCAAGACAAAGGGTACAAAGATAGGCTTTATAATTAAAACAATATCCTTTCAAAAGATTCAGAACATTCGCATTTTAAGGCATCCATTACATACGTAAAGTTTTCGTTCGGATCTCCTGTAATCTGTGAGCGTGATTTCGTGAAAAGAAACTCCGATCACCTCACCAATTCTGTGAAAAGCAAGCAAAAACTCACTTAACACCGGTTTTCGGTTTGCCGTATTATCAATTCGGTGGTTCAATTGACGCGAGTGGCCTCGACCAGTGCAAAGTGGTCGAATCGTCATCTTGAGTCAATTCAAAGTGTACCTAACACCTATCACGTAATCGCAATAAATCCTGAGTATACATATAACATACAAGCTGACCCACGCAACTTTGTCTGTTTCTCTGAAAAGAAATAAATTTTGCCCGCTTTTGAAACATTTTTATCGATATTCGGCT